ACCCTAAAAGTGTCATTTTTAGCCTCAAAAACCCCCAAAATGGCCTCTTTCTGCCCCAAAATGGCTTCAGGAGCCCCCAAAATGACAATTTTTAGCCACAAAATCCCTCAAAAACTCAATTTACAGCCCCAAAATGGCTTTTAGAACCCTAAAAGTGTCATTTTTAGCCTCAAAAAACCCCAAAATGGCCTTTTTTCTACCCAAAAATGGCTTCGGGACCCTCAGAAATGGCCATTTTTTACCCCAAGCCTCCTAAAATGACCATTTACAGCCCCAAAATGACTATTTTTAGCCCCAAAATGGCTCATTTGGGGTCCCAGGGTCAGTTTGGGGCTCCTGGGGCTTAAAGGCTTAAAACAACTCATTAAAGGTGCATTTTGGGGTGAATTCCAGGGGGGGACCTGGTGGATCCGGGTCTGAGGAGGGTAATTAGGGGTCTGGGGGGTAATTAAGGACCTGGTGGGTGTAATTAGGGAGTCTGGGGGGTAATTAAGGCTATAGAGACTGTAATTCAGGGGCTGGGGAGGGTAATTAGGGGTCTGCAGGAGATAAGGGTCTATGGGGCATAATTAAGGGTCTGAGGGTTAATTAACCCCCTGTGACGTCACCAAGAGGCCTTTATTAAATACGGGCACAAGAACCATTTCGGGGAGGGGTTTCGGGGGGTCCGGGACGGCAGGGCTGCCCCTCCCCCTCCCTGGGGGCGGGGCTGAAGCGAGGGGGCGGAGCCCGGCGGGAGCCCCGCCTCCTCAGAGCCAGGCCCCGCCCCCTCGCAGAGCCAGGACAAGATGGAGGACGGAGCCGCCCTGGATCTTGTAATCGGCCGCCGTCTTCTCGTCGTTCCTTTTGGGGGTGGAAAGGGGCAAAAACGGGGGGTCAGAGGTCAGGGGACCAGCCCCGCCCCCTTCCAGAAGCTCCTCCTCCTCCCAGGCCCCTTCCCTTCAAGCCACGCCTTTCCCAAACCACGCCCCCTTCACTTCCAGACTCCACCCCTTAATCCACTGACCCCTAAATGCCCTGCCCCTCAGACCACGCCACC